ATGAAATTAGGCTTAATATTTTGATATTTAAAATGGAGAGCTTCTCGTTTCATTCGCCATTTTGGCTAGTGAAATATATTTTGAGAAATGTTCGGAATTATACAGATTTGTTAAAGATCTTATTTTGAAACCTGTATATGGATGCCTCTTGGAAAATATTGTTTGGAAATATGTTGGATACATTTACCGAGAAAAATAAGAATCCAAGTAATTATTTGCGAATTTCTGTATAATTTTTATCTTCTGAGATACGTATATTAAAATTAACACCTTGCCTTAGCATTTAAGTCCCGATGGCGAAGTATAACACGTAACTAAGATAGAAAGAATTTTCTGTTAACCACGAGCCTAGTCCGTGATGTTTACATTGGGCCCTATCTACAAACCACGGCTCTCACCCGTGATACGCATGTTTGGTTCGATTTCGTTACCACGAGTCTCACACGATATTGTAGTCAAAGAGATTAAAGGTAAAATAAAGAAAACTAATTTTAATTTACGTATCTCAGAAGTTAATGAATTAAATTAAAAATCATTAATCTTATTATAAAAATATTAAATATATCCAATATAATAAATACACCTAAAACATCACATAAAAGAAAAAATATAACGAAAATGGTTTAAACTGAATATAAAAATACGAGGAATGAGAAATTACCGAAAAAGTAAAACTGAAAAATATTTATAATATTTATAATGAACGATAATACGAAGATTATAAAATATCAACGAACAAAAATTCGAGAGCTACCCTACATGATAAGTTTCATTAAAATAATAATTAAAATAAGCTTATTATATACACACGATTTTTTTTTTGTCAACTTTTGCAGAATTTTATACATCGAAGCGTCACTTCGACAGAGTAATTCAGAAAATTCAGAAAAGCGTCAAAAGTTCCAACAACGTCGTATAAAGCGTGAGTTTTTAATAAACATAGCTATTATGAACTGTCGATAGAAAAGTACGATTACACGCTTGTTACACGGACTGAAATTTAGTCATGTCCACTAGGATAGCGCAATATAAATGTAAATGTAAATGTTTATGGAGGGACACTAAATGTAGAGTGCAGTAATGGTAGGTTTACGACCGCGGCAGTTTACAAGTGGCTCGCGAAGTCACTTGATTCATCGGGTAATTTGTGTCTGCGACTGGTTTGCATTTTAAGCGAAGACTAAATGCTATCTTAGCTGCCATTTCCTTCGATCAAATCATTGCTTCCTGCATTTCCAACCAGCCTCCACTTTTACCGATTTACCATTTTTTCCTTTAATAATAATGCTAATAGGGACGAGGATTTCTATGAAAGAAGCAAAATGGAATTACCATTAAAACGGCAATAAGTTATCGAACAAAAGGGTACATATTTGACCTAAATCGGATCATTCTAACTATGCTAAATAAAGCCTTCAATCTCATGCAAAAATAATGGATTTCATTTTACTACGACTAATACATGTCTCGCTGTCATATAAAAATTTTCGTCTTTCATTAATCCAGTTCGTGTCCTAGATAATATGTCATCGAAATATTCGTAAAATTAATTACCATCTAATTATTTTTTAAATTAATCGTAATTAAATTTTCTGCTTCTTGCATCAACCATTACCGAGATACAAAGTTTCGATGTTTCCAATATCTATACTACTAGAAGCAGGTAAAAGGTATGTTTCAAATTTTGTATAGAAGATTCTAGATATTAGAAAAAGCAGTGACACGTGAAATTGAAAGCTTCGTAATTCTCTTCGTAATTCCCTAGACAGAATTTATCAAGATATCATCGCAAGATCAAACAAATATTACCGTAATTTGTCTCCTTTGACATCGACACTACGTGTGAAATATTTTTCGAGGTATTTACACACTCCCAAATAAAATCGACACACTGTATATAAACGCAATGCTCGTTTTGCCATTTCACGATCGAATTACGTTAAATTCGGTTAAGTATCGAAACAGTCCATAACTCCAGCCCCTTTATCGACAAAAATTCATCCTGCCAACTGTACCAAATTTTCATTCGTCATACTAAATTTCATTTTAATGGAAACAACGTGTCTAACTCATTGACAAAACTAAACTCGACTCTATCCTTCTCGTTATATCATTTTGGGCATAATACACCAAAAAGTGCTCAAGAACTTATAAACCAGGCTGATAACCACAAGGCAACGAAGCTAAGAATGCACTGATAGCCTCAATTATGCAAAACGCAGCCATAAGTCACGTCGAACAACGTGGCAATCATCCTTTCGTCGTACAACCAGGACCACTAATAATATTCCAAAAATCCTAAAAATTCGAAAAACTCGAACCGATTGAATATTATGACTGTAGGACGCATTATGCAAATTCGATATTCGAGTACAGTATACTCAACGACACTCTACAGCCCTGAATCATTTCTCTGTTTAGCTTGTGTGTTAGTTTATCATTGAGACACAGTGTTCTTTGGTAAGAAAATCACACGAGGTATGGAAATATAATTATGTATACAGAATTATTATTGATGATAATCCGTTTACTCAGACTCGAATCTTGTTGTTCATTACACTCCTTTCATCGTTATCTTCTGCGAATTTTCTTCTTCGTCTATGTGGGTTATAGTAAGCACATTAATCAGTACAATATGCTATTTATGTCAGGTTATATAAACCTTGAAGAAGTCCAGAAGTCTTCCACGTGTTTTATGATCTTGAAGAGCG